ATCACGTTACTCGTTATTTTAACAAATAATAATAATAATGATGAAAATTTCTTTTTCGCAATTAAATTAATTTTCCGTAAAGAAAAAAACGTCGTCGTCGTCGTCGGACATCTTTCGTGAAATTTTTAAAATTTTCCAATCTTTTTTTATATATCGATTTCATTTCGATTTCATTTCGATTTATCGAAATCGCAGATTGAAAATAAAATAAAAAGTTTAAATAGTTTTTCCGAAGAATTTCCACGAAATTTCCTCCAAAAAAAAAAAAATTTTGTTTTCTTTTTCGTTTTTTCAGAAAAAGTTTACCAGATTTATTAAGATGCATTTGATCGATGCGAAACGAATCCCTCCCCTGCTCCCCTTTCCCCCCTTTTTTTTCTTTTAAACGATAATTAAAATGTTTAGATTTTCCAACTATTTCTTGTTTTTTTTTTTTTTTTTTTTTTTTTTTGGTTACGAACGAAATTTGTATTCCCCGAAGTAAGAAAAAAAAAAAAAATAGAAAAGAAACCAAAACAACTTTTTGACGCTTTTTTTTTTTTTGAAAATTTTTCATCGGAAAAACTTTACGGATAAAATAATAAATTAATTCTTTCCTTTTCGAATTTTTTTTTTCTTTTTTTCTTTTTAAAAAAGTTTTCGTGAAAAACTTCTTTTCGAATTCTAAAAATTCCGATCCGCTGATAAAAAATAAAAAAAAATAAACAAATGTTATATAATTAATGCGATTTTCTCATTTTATCGTGGATGATTTACGCGATAAACAAACCGGAAGCGTTTGGAAAATATTAAAATAATAACCGGAAATGATTTCGAATTGAATTTTCACACGATCGTCGGTCGAAGAACGCCATTTCCGTTTGCAAATATTAAAAGAAAAAAAAAAAAAAAAATTAAAATGACTCCTCTTCCTTTGAATGAAATTCCCAGGGTGCGAAGATAAAAAAAAAAAAGGAAAAAAATTTCAAAAAAAATAACCGGCAGGGGGGCCAACATACAACAACAAAAAAAAAAAAAAAAAAAAAAGAGAGAGAGAAAGAGAGAATTTTTGACGTTTTTATTAAAATCATTATTTAATAAAAAATATTATTTTGTTGGGTTTTTAGACAAAGAAAATAAATTTTAATATCCCTCCAAAAAAAATAAATTCTAATACCCCCAAAAAATGCAAAACTCGTACTGTAACAAAAAAAAAAAAATCCAAAAATCACTCGATTTACAACAACATTTTATCAGGGGGGAGGAGGAAGAGGAGAAAGAGGAGGGGGAGGTAACGAAAAAAGAGGGAAAAAGTAAAAAAGAAAAGTGTGAAAACCTTTTTTTTTTTTTTTTCTCCAACGTTTTTCGTTGCCCGAGGTTTATTTATTTATTTACTCGAGTCGTAAACACAATTTTTTTGTTTTCTTACATGTATTTACGACAGCAAAGGAAAATTGATTGTTAATACGTCACGTCGAAACTTTTCCCCCCCTCTTTTGTCACACATCTATCGTACCTGATACTACCAAAATAACCATTTTCCATTAAATTTTCATTACTTTTTCCCTCCCTCTTTATTTTTTCCGGTTTTTTAATTAGAAAATTCGACGAAAATCTGAGAAAAATCTCAATGCATTTTACTTCGCGGGGGAAAAAAAACAAATTTCCACAAATGATGGATAAACATTCGAAGAGAATACTTCCATTTCCCTTTCCTCCTCCCTCTCCCTTCCCACTCCCCCCTCTTTAACCGAATTAATAAAGTCAATAACGATCGTTTTACCTAAAAATAAAAAAAAATCGATGCCATTTCATAATGCGCAAAAAAAAAAAAAAAAAAAAATTTATTTCGTCTCAAATCATCGCATGTTGAATTAAAATATTAAATCATGCAAATAAACATAAAAAAAAATAGAAATTAACGAAAACGAGGGAGGAAAAACAAAAAATCGAAGAAAAACCGGAAGGAAATTTTTTTTTTTTTTTCCCTGCAACGCTAACCGTTTTTTTTTCCCTACCGAAAAATTTTTCTTTCCCTTTCGTTCGTTCGTTCTTTCCTTTTTTTGTGTTTGACCTTTGACATTTTAATAAATGCATCGGGTCTGCACAACAAAATAAAATTAAAAAAAAACGTCGACTCCAAAAAAAAAAAAAAAAACTTAAAATAATCATAAATTTTTTAAAATAATATTTTATCCTTTTTTCTTTTTCTAGAAAATTCTTAAAAGCTAATTTATGTTTGGCAAAATAATAATAATAATAAAAAAAAGGGGAGGGGGAAGAAACGTATCCAAAAATGAAAAATTATAATTTTTTAATGGAAAAAAAAAAAATTCGAAATGCGGACTCAATTTTTTTTTTTTTTTTTTTTTATTATCTGAAATTTTTTTCTGCCTCTTTTTCCAAACTTTCTCTGGATGATTTCGCACTATTCCCCCCCACTCTCACTCCCGATATCGATAAAATCGATTTAATGAAAAATTTTTTATAAACTTTTAAAAAACCTGACAATAATTTTAATATTCTTACGCGCCTAACATAAATTTTCTTTTCCGTTTCTAACTTTAATAATTAAAAATTTAAAAAAAAAAAAAAAATCATCGCATCGTCGTCATCAAAAAATATTTCATCGTTAAGAAAATATTTAAACGGCAGCAAAAAAAAACAAAAAAAACATTTTTGGCACTTGCTCTACGCAATGAGAAAAAGAGTGAGAGAGAGAGAAACAACAACAATTTTTAAAAATAAAATTAAATAAATTTTAAATGATTAAAATTAAATTTCAATTTAAATCGATTGGCTGCCCCATTAAAAAAAAAAAAAAATTTCTATTAAATGTTTTTTGGCAAATATCATCGTAAAAATCTTAAGTAAATTTTCTTTTTTTTTTTTTTTTTTTCGCTTTTGCGAACGCGTTCGCGTTCGCGACGTCCGTTAAAATTTACATTTAAAAACAATTTGTCGAAAAATATTATTTTGACAAACAACAACAAAAAAACAAAACAATTATTTTTTTAAAACAAAAAAAAAAAAAAAAAAAAAACAAAATGGCCGCCGAAAACGTTTAAATCGTGCTGAATCGGATTTCATCGATTACAACCCGTGGAAACAATTCGGATAAGAAAATTTTTATTTTCATTTTTTTTTAAATTACCACAACTCACGAAAAATTTTCTTTCGGACGAAACGATAATAATAATAATGAAAAATTTTCCTTTGCGAAAATCGACACGATTCTATTCGTATCGTTGCCGTAAAGGAAAAAAAAAAAAAAAACAATAACCGACATCGTTTTGTTTTTCTTTGACTTTTCTCACTTTGTTTCGTTAATAAATAAATTTTTGACAAACGATCGGATAATTAATGCGATTAATTAGTCAATCAGTCAATCAATCAATCAATCAATCAATCAATCGATCGATCGATTTGTCCAAGACTTGAGTTTTCGAAGGGGAAATACGAGAGAACGAACGAAACCTTTTTGAGAGGTTTTTCCTTTCAAAAATTTTTACCCGTTCGACGACGACGACGACGACGACAGCTTTTTCTTTTTTTTTTCCTACTTCAACTCGTGATTCGAACGCGTGTGTGAGAGAGATAGAGAGAGATAGAAAAACGTTTAAAATTAAAAGGAAAGGAAAAAGGTTTTTTTTCACCCGACCGAATTATTTAAAATAGATTAATGATTAATTTACTGTGACTGTGACATCGCGTTTGAAAGAAGCCAAACACAAATTAAAGAAACATTTAAATTCGTAAAAGCTTTTCCTCCATTTTTCCTTTTTTTTTTTTTTCGCTTTACTTCGACCTAAAAAAATTTTTAAAAACTCGCGGATCGTGTGTGTGCCCGTGTGTGTGTGTGTGTGAAAACTTAAAACTGCCCCCCCCCGCACGACTTTAAAATTTTTTAAAAATTTAATTAAAAAAAAAAAAATTAAATTAAAACGTTTTCTCATCCCTTTCCCTTTCCCTTCTCCGTTCCCGTTTTTTGACATCTTATGACACGTATTATTATTATTCTTTTACGGATGGTCCGACCCAAAAAGGAAAAAGAAAAAATTTCATAAACGTGTCAAAATAATAATAATAATAATTAACTTTTTCCTTCGCGCCCACCATTTTCTTTTTTTCTTATTTTCTTAAACGAAATAAAATTGCCGTAGAAAAATATTTTTTTTCTTTTTTCTTTTTGGTCAGAGAAAAAATATTGGAAAAGGACAAGATTTAGAATTCCTGTGGGAAAACTCGACTCTATTAAAAAAAAAGGAAGAAAAGAAAGAAAAGAAAAACCTATCTATTTATCTTCCCCCCCTCCTTTTTTTTTTTCTTTTTTTGGGTTTAATCTTAAACCTTCGCGTAAGCTTCCCCGATAAATTTTCATTTATTTTATAACAATTTTATCATTTCAATTTATTTATTCTTAAATTAAAAAAAAAAAAAAAAAAAAAAAAAAAAATTAAAACTTGAACTCAATCATAATGAATGAAATTAAAAAATTTTTTTTAATCCTTTTTTTCCTTTTTTTTCCTTTTCCTTCCCCCTCCCAAAAGTTACAAAAAATCCTTGAAAAATTATTGGAAACTCAACAGCAATACGCGAAAAGAATTTAACGTCGCTTTTTTGATTCCAAAAGTGTTTTTTTTTTTTTTTTTTTTCTAACGTTTTTAATTCCTTTTCGAAATTTAATAATTTTCAAACTGAAATATTTACAAACAATTCTTTTCGCAGAAAAGGAAATCAGAAAAAAAAAGGTTTGCAATTTATTTATAGCGAAATGAAACACTCAAACCTTTTTTTTCGATTCGAAACAACAATTTCGGAACGAGAAAAAACCAAAAAAATTTTTTTTTTCAACAACGCGAAGACCCTTTTTGCAACTTTTATATATATGAAAACTAATGAAAAGGCCTAATTCTTTGATAATAATAATAATAATTATTATTATTACCATCATTCGCATCATTCACATCATCATCATCATCGTCGGGTACATGATAATAAATTTTTTTAAAAAACTTTACCCTTGCGGCGATCGAAGTTGTCGGTTTTTCTAACAAGTCCCACAGCCATTTTTGGTATTGCGCACATTTTCCATCTCCGAATTCTTCTTCTTCCCTCTGCCGAAGAGATTCCGCTTCTTTTCTCATTTCCTCGTGAACGTGTTCTTTCCTTTGATGGTACTTATGCTGACAACACGATTCCAAATACAATTCGTCGACTCCCCAATATTCGAGATCGTCGCTAAATGCTAACACGCACATTTCGTCCACCAAATGAAGTTTTCCCGTTCTGTAAAAATTAAGTATTGAGCTGAAGGATTTCGGGTGCCTATCGAAAAAGTATTCGTTATCTACAAGGGAATAATCGTCGCACAGTTCCGTTATAGCTTCGTGCGTGTTGCAATCGCGAAGTCGCCCCAACCGCGTGTGGGGCAAACGTTCGAGCGTTCGCCAAAGAACTTCGTGTTTGACTCCGCCGACGTTGATGTTCACGCGACGATTTAAAGCTTTCGAACGCATTATCATGAAAGGCTCCGGCGGAAGCGAAGTCATACTTCTCGAATGGGGTCTCTGCTGTAATTGTAAAGGCAAATTTGGGGGCAAAGGGGGAGAAGCCTTGGGAAAGCGAACTTCCCTCGTGGGGGCTTCCGCCTGTTCTCCTTCCAACTCCCATCGGACTCCGACCCCTTCCCCCTCTCTGTCCCCGACCATGTGATTTAAAACGCTTGTTTTTTCCCCGTAAGCCCTGGGAGCCAGAGAGAGAGAGAGAGAAAGAGAGACTTTATTCAAGGATTATTTCTCCCCGCGCTTTTCAAATCGTTTGCCATCATCCTCCCCTCCTTTCATTTTTTTTCACAATCATTTTCTTCTTTACCTGCAAAAAACGAAAATAAAATTTAATTAGGTCAAACGAATGCGAACAAACAAAAAAAAAAAAGTCACACGAATTTTAAACAATATGGATGGCGTCAAAATTATTTTAACGAAAAATAATAATGATAATAAACGCGAGAGAAATGGCAGACATTTTTGTAAAACACACACACACAAACTCGCGTTAAAAAAAAAAAATAAAAATAAATAAATAAATAAAAAAATAAAATAAAAAGGACAGAATTAAAGTTTTAAGCTCGAGCTCTTAGAGTTTATACAAGTTTCAACTTTGACCTTATCCTGGTTGTTATTGATCGAGTTTTCCGCCCACTTTTCTAAATTTTTACTCTACTATCTTACTATTATCAACTTTAGCTTTATTTTAGATATTATTATTTTTTTTTTTTTTCTAAATATAACCAATGATTTAAAATGTTTCGCTCCCTCCCGATTTATGTGACATTTAACTTACAAAAAAAAGAAAAAGGGAAAAAAGAAAAACAAAACAAAAAAAAAAAAAGAAACAAAGAAAGAAAGAAAATGAATAAAAAAAAAAAATTTTTGAATTTTTTAATTTTCTCCTCGTACAAAAGAAATTTTCCATTCTCTCGTGCTGCTGCTTTAACATTAGGAAAATGCAAATTTTCTTCGCATACGTGAAAAAGAAAAATCACGACAGGAAATGAAAACTATTAATATTTTCTTTTCTTTAAATATATAAATATGAATTGCAGAAGAGAATTTTAATTACTTTTATTTCATTTTTTTTTTAAATGTTATTAAAAATTATTTATTATTATTATTATTATTATTAAGAAATTTCACAATGGAAAATAGATGAACAAAAAAAAAAAATTTTCTACCTACACCTTTTACTAGACAGACCACCACCATAACAAAAAAAAAACTTTTTCCGTTTGTAATAAATAAATTTTGAAAAAAAAAAAAAAAACGGAAAATTTTTACACTTTTCAATTTTTTTTTTAAATAAAAACAAATTACTTCCGGTTTTTTTTTCTTTTCCCCCCAAAATAATTAAAATTAAAAATTAAATCGAGAACACGAAGAGATTCCCTCAAATTTTTTCACAGGGGTTCCAGAAAAAAAAAGGCGCAAAAGTTGATAATTTTTTTAAAATAATGATGATGATAATGATAATAATAATAATAATAGTTAAAACCAAACCGTTTTGCTGCTCTCTTAAAATAAAAATGCGACGATAGCAATAGTCATAATAATTAATATTGTAATCGTAATAAAAAAATTAAGAAAAGTTTTAATATAAATTTTCCTCAAAAAAAAATTTCGACTCGAGAAAAGTCGAACGAATATCGAATCAAATCGTATCGAATCGAATGATTAATATATTTTTCTGCGAGTGCAAACAAACAAAAAAAAACAAAAAAAAAAAAAAAAGGTTCACGTTTAAAATTTTATACTGCAAAAGAAACAACGTACAAAATCGTCATGATTTTGAAACAAAGAAATGTTTTCTTTCATTTTTTTCTTTTCTTTTATTTTTTTTTTACGAAACAATTCAAGTAATAATAATAATAATAATAATAATAATAATAATAATAATAATAATAATAATAATAATAATAATAATAATAACAATAATAAAATAAATGGAAACCGACGTACCTCGTACGTGGATTTTCTTTATTTTTTTATTATTTTTTTTTTTTAATAGTGGAAAATGTAAATTTTTTTTTTTTTAACGTTTTCCTCTCTCGTCTTGCGTACGTACAGACATATACATATGTGCGTGCGGGTGCGTGTGCGTGTGCGTTAATTTAAAAAAAAAATTTTTTCTATTCGGGGGAAAAAAAAACCAAAAAAAATGAAAATGGAAAAATGGCGAGAGAGGACTCCCTTTAAAAAAAAGAAAAACCCAACATCGAACTAACCGAAGCCACGCCAACTGACTTTATATATTTTACCGGGGAGAAATGTATGAGCGAGAGGATCCGAAAATGCAACAGGAAAACCGAACCGCTTCTCCGCCTTTACCGCCGCCTACAAAAATAATTTTTTTTTTTTTCTTTGTTCCTTTTTTGGATCCTTTGGCCGACGCCTTTTTTTTTTTCTCTCTCCCCGAGTTATCATTCCTTTTTTTTTGGGTTGCCTAAAGGAAAGGGTCGAAAAAGGTATACGCGTGAGTTATTTTCCAAACATAATTTGTGGGCTTAGAATAAAATATAAAAAAAAAAAAATTGTATCCGCCGTTAAATTTTTCCCGCATTTTTATTTTTATTTTTTTACTCCCAGAATTCTAATTAAAATTTTCTTTTATTTTTTTTTTTTATTTTTCCAATAAAAATTTTGACGTTGGAAAAAATTAAAATTTTGATAAATTGTTGTTGCTCTTTTTTTTTCCTTTCCTTTCCTTTTCTTTTTCATTTTCGAAAATTTTCCAAATCAAAAATTTTATCCAGTTTTGCAATTTTTCGTTTTGTTTTTACACTGACAAAGAGAAAACGTTTCCAGTTTTTACCTGAGTTTTCCCTCATACGTCATCCTTTTTTTTCTCTTTTTTTACCAAGAAATTTGTCATTAATAAATAATGAAAACAAAAAAAAAACAAAAAAAAACGGGAAAACTCTAAAAAAATTTTCCAACCTTCATTTCATTTTTCATTCCAGGAATAAAAAATTTGAAATTTAAAAAATTTGACCAAGTGCCAAGCACACAAATATTTACCCTATTCCTCCTCCCTCCCTCCTCTTATCATCACGATGAACTTTACTTTTCTTATCACCATTATAATTTTAAATTAATAATAATGATGATGATAAAAAATATAACAAGAATGAAAATTTTTTTACTTTTTATTATAGAATTCATTGAAAAATATTATTTGAGATTTGACCGACTGGAAATGATCATTTTTCATTTTCTCCCACAAATAAGACAAACACAAACACAATCAACAGGTAAATTTTTTCTTCTTTTTTTTTTTTTCTGTTTCATTACATCTTCTATTTTTTTTTGAAACATTAAACCGTCGGATAAATTCTATCACTCCACCACTCCATCCTCATTAACCCATCCCGATTTTTTTCCAGGAAAAATTTCTTCATCGAACGAGACGCTTGACCTTATTCATTATTTTAATTATCAATTTCAACTCTAGAACTCGTATGTTCGATGATAAACAAACGACGGTTTTGTTGTTCGTTGTTTGTTGCGTTGTATTCGAACGCCGTCGATCATGTTCTACAACAAGCGATGGTGGTGTAATGGTGAGCATAGTTGCCTTCCAAGCAGTTGATCCGGGTTCGATTCCCGGCCATCGCACCAAATAATTTTTTTTGCACTTTTCTCAACTTTCGCAACTTACGACTAATATATGTATATACATAAATTTTTAAAAATTGTTTTTGGCTCCTTTGAAAAACAACAACAACAATCGATTGTGAATGTTTTTGTTTACAACAACTCGACCGAACATTATTCCTATAATCATTTTTCAATTAAATTTATGGTCGGTCGTAGAGTCACGTTTATGTAAATAAATCAATACGAAATCATCGATTTCATTCATTACGAGAAAAAAAAATATTTACATTAAAAAAAAAAAACGTTTTCCACAGCGTTTTCGTTCAGTTTTCTCTCCTCTATTCGACTTATGACAATATAAAAAAAAAACAAAAAACCATCCATTTTCAATTTTTTTTTGTTTTTATTTTTGAATGTTTATTATTGTTAAAATAATAACTTAAAAAATTGTTTGAAAACTTTAAATTAGCAAATTTTTTTTCTTTTTTTAACCATTGGTAAATTTATTTTTTTAAAATTAAATTTAAAATTTAGACTAAAAATAAAAATTAATAATAAATTTTTCTTCTGTTTTTTTTTTTTTTGCACGGCCGCCGACGAAACCGAACGTAAAAATTACCAACGTAAACACTGGTGGGCCTTTTAATGTAACAAAAAAAAAAAAAAAAATATATCGTAATGAAAAAGACGTAGACGTGGCAGCAGCACCACCAGCAGCATAAGGTATAATAGAACACGAAACACATTTTAATAAAATTTAATTTCATCCATAACCCATTATAAAAAAAAAAAAACCACGCAATAAACAAACGAACGAACGAACGTGAAAAAAACCTTTTATTAAGTCAATAATTTTATATAAATTTTTTTTTTTTTTTTTAAATTGTATCGAAAATATTTATAAATAAAAGGTTCAAAGGTCACGCTCGATAATTTTTTTTTTTTTAAAAAAAGAAAAATTCGGTAGTTTGAAAGAACAAAACGTTGATGACAATTTTTTTGATGGCTGATGTAAAAAAACATAAATTAAACTTTTTTCTGACATTTCGACAAAGGCAACAAGTTATGCGGAAACGTACGTAGCTGTAAAAAAAAATTTACAGCTTTCATAAAACGAAAACCGAAAATGAACCAGCCCCCTTTAATAAAAAAAAAAAACGATAAAAAGTAAAACTATAAAAAAAAAAAAAAAAAAAAAAAAAAACAACACAAACACACACACAAAGTTTTCCCGAAACAAATGAACCTGAAAAACAATAACAAAGAAAAACCTTTTAAATCACAGCAGGAATTCAAAATCATTCGTTTCTTTTCCATAAAAGTTTTTCCTTTTTTTTCCTTTTTTTTTTTTTTTTTTTTTAAATCTTCATTTTAAAATTTTAATTATTCATTACTTTTCTTTCTTTCTTTCTTCTTTCCCCCTCACTTATCTCTTCGCTAACATTTCCATCTTTTTTCGTCCGATATATTATTACGTGGCAGCAGCAGCAGTAGCAGCAGAGTAGTAATCAAATTCGAAGCGTTTTTTTTTCCCCCATCGTGCCTATTTAACCTTT